ATCAAGAGGAGGCAGAGGGGAAGTTGTAGGAAGAGAAGGGGTGGAGATTTGACCTGAATGAAAGGGACCCCTGCTGAGCTGGCTAGTCTGACTCATTGAATGACCTGAATACGATAAATGCTGCTTTATCCTTTCTTGAAAGGAACAAGATAGCACAGCCTAAATGCCTGGGTGTGCTTAAATAGGCAACTGTGGGATGTTTGAGGTGAGTGTGTTTGAAATCTGAGCTGCTTGACAGTCTGGGTATTGCCAGAGGTCATCTGCCCTGCTCCATGGGGATAGGCCCAAGATTTGCAAGCAACAGCCCAATGGGCGAACTGTTACACAAAACACATTTGTTCATTGTCTTTCCTTTGCGAGATCACAACCTGCGAAACATTGTAAAATAATTCTCAAATATTATTTCAAGGGCCAAATGGACGTGCTGAAAGGTGATGATAGAAACTGAAATGCAGAGCTTCATCTCTCACGTTGCTCATTGTGAGGTTTATGGTATGTGTGAGAGAGTGCATGCCTATAGGTAGTGTATAGTTGCTGTGCAGAGTTCTATGCTCCTAGCAATTTGACAGGCAACGAGTCTGCTTCAGTGATCTTAAATCCTTTTAGACTAATTTGTGAAAGAGCAGAAAAATAGCTAGCACCCACTCCTCCATTCAGTGTTAAAAAACGGAGAGGTGCAGGTATTTTACAAGCCATCCTCTCCAGATAAGGTCGATTTTTAAATGCCTCTGATAATACTGTGTTGTGTTTGCTTAAAAGAAGAGTTCTACATGAGTTAAAAGGGATTATTGTGTGAACTCACCTTATCACTGGCCACAATATACAGATGAGAGGGAGAGTCAGGTTGCTGCATTAGAATGTTGCATATGTGTGCGGTGCAAATTCAAGCACTGCCCTTAAATAGCCAAGGGCCATTTTTAGGAGCCTCTGGCCCCTCAGTCGCTGGCCTGCTAGTTAATTGCCACACGGACTTCATGACACATGGACAGATAATATGACATTTTCAGTTTCTGTCACTAGCAAACGCCACAGCGTTGCTTGCACTAGTTGCTAAGAAGCTGTCAGAAACCATTAGCAGTTGGCTAAAGTTGCCCTATGGCATTTCCTCATGGCATCAGCAAAACGAGCATAAATCACCCAGTGGAGCCTACTGCTATACTAATGAGGCTGTAAGCTTGTTTATGGACTAGCATCATTTTTATGATTATTTCCACCTTTTCAGCTTGCCTTCATTGGCGGCAGGAGAAGTCAACTTTAAGAATGAAGTCACTGCTGACATTTCGCAAACGTGGTTTTGTAGCTGCTACCATGTGGCTGGTCAGTGGGTCTTCACATTTTGCTTCATGATCTCTCTTTTTTAATGTAGACAAGGAGAAGCAGGAGAGGAAAAGCATTCTCAAGAGACCTCACAAAAGGTGGCTGTATCAAATTGCAGAGTGAATGGAAATGCTATTTAGACTTTTAACTGAGATTTTTTTTTCCTTTGCAAAGCATCAAGTTTCAGATTGTTGTTGCTTTTTAAGTGGAAATGGTTAAGTGATGTATTAAAATCCAAGAAAGTGATTTTTTGGGGGGTGGGTGGTTGGGTAAGTAAAGGACTCTGTTTCATTAATTTGCCTTTTTCTTATCTTCCTCTTATCTTCTGTTGGACAGGACGAGAGTTTATTGTTTTAAGCTTCTCTGAACACGCAGGAGTATTTTACATGGGATTGAAAGCATTTGCTTCCAATGAAAACCTTGTCTTAGATTACAGCCCAGCAGTGTAATTTCCCTCCCAGATGGGAGTAAAGTAGCAATATTTGCCTAAAAACAGTAGGAAGAACAAACTGTGCATTAAGCCGAGGCTGTTTTTGGCTTGAGCTAATGATGTAACAGAAACCTTTTATTTGGGATAAGTCACTGCCTGGGATTGAAGGGAGGTGATCTGGCTCTTGCTTGAAAGGTTTCTCCATTGTATCTACATAAGTCTTCACTTTTTAAAAAAGGAATGGGGAGGGAAGTGTTTGAGATTCTGTTCCTAATGTTTCTGCTTTCATACAGCAGAAATAAACAGGAAAGGTTCTGGGGAGTGTTAGACATGGAATGCAGAAAGCTTTTCCTCTCCTAATGGAGTATATAATTCAGGTGCCCTGAAGGCATGCTTTCAGGAATTCTTTTGCCCGAGGTAATGGGGAGCTAAGGCTGCTTTAAGGCCTTGATTATCTATTGATGCACAAAGCTGGAAAAAGTCATCTCTGTTGGATTATAGTAGATATTTCCATAAATTATCAATGAATCCTCTTCTAGCCAGGCACAAGGCATCACTTGCTAAAATAATCTGCAAGCATGAGCAGAAAGGGGTACAAAATGTATGGGTTTGTTTGTGTGTTTGTTTTTAAAGAATAGAGAACAAAAGCAGTGTGGAAAGACAATGACATTCGGTTAGAAGCCCCTTATTTTTAATCAGTGACTGTCTAATATATTTCTCCTTCTCTTCCCATCCTTAATCGCCTCTCAACTAGCGAAAGTGGATTAGTACGTGGAAAATGTAAATGCTGTTGAGTTGTTTGCTCATGTTTATTTTATGAATCATTATTTTATATGGTAAATTGCTTCTCTGAATAAAAAGCTTTCAAAGACTTTATCAGCCTGACATCTAAACTCTTTTCTATAAAGGGCCTGTTTTAGAGAAATGAACATTCGAGTTCAGCCTTTCCTTGAAGATATAACGCCTTATGAAGGCAGTCATAAATATTCTTTTTGTTATTTTTAAAGTTTGTGCTGTATATTAATCTTTTAAATTAATTCACTGTATATTTTTTTAAAAAATATCAATTTTTATACAGATTATTTTAAAATAATGTCTTCCTTGAGATTAAATTTATGGATTGCATCTAAAAGATAGCCTCTGAAAAATGACCTCCTAAATGTGAGGCCCCAAGATGGTATTCTACCCATATGACAACAATGAAAGGACTAAACAATGCATTAAGAACTGCTTAATTTCATCTTCACAAAACCTCACAGAATTAAAAACATTCAGAGACTTCCCATAATTTGGTTATGTGAAATATGCTCTTAACAGATATAATATAATATATTGTATGTACATATAATATTTATAATATTATAATGTAATGCAATATAATCTATATAAATAAAAATGTAATGTTCGTTTGTGGGATTAACATAATTTAAAAACCACTGGACGAATTGACACCAAATTTGGACACAAGACACCTATCAGGACAACGAGTGACCATCACTCATAAAAACACAACAGAAGAGACTTAAAAAGCAAAATAAAATTACATTACAACATATGCACAAACCCACACATATATATGCAACCACACATATACACATATAAACAAATATATACACACACAAAACACATATACACAGACTGGGCCACAGCAACGCATGGCAGGGGACGGCTAGTACTAATAATATGATATTATAATTATATGTTTATATTACATGTAATATTACTAATAATATTACAATATAATAGTATAATTGGGTCTCGGCCTCTTGTACGCTGCACCGAGTCCTTCGGGAGATGGTAGCGGGTTATAAATAAAGGTTTATTATTATTATTATTATTATTATTATTATTATACAATATAGTTATATTTAATAGTGATATTGTATTATGGTAATAATATAACATATTGTATTTATATATATCTTGTAAGTCGCCCTGAGTCCCCTTTGGGGTGAGAAGGGTGGCATATAAATGTCGTAAATAAATAAATAATCAAATAAATAAACACATCAAAGGATTGGAGATGGCTGGATCATTCAGTTTCTCATCTTTCTCAATTTTCCTTGGCATCTTGTTCTGTTTCTGCATTCTTTCAGAATCTGCAGAAAAATAGTCTTTAAATACCATTTTATCATATTTTCTTCTAAAATATGCACTCATGAATATTTGATCTACAAATAGGCATTTTAAGCCATATTTCATCTTGAAGTATGCCTTTTTATTAGGTTTCTGACCCCAGACCTGTGTCATGAAAATTCAGAGAAGTACAAAATCATTACATTAGTCTGAGAGATGTAGATCAGGTCAATTCACATTGGAATTTGCACAGACTGAATTCACCAGGCATCTCTAATATTCATCCTATTAAACAGTATTGGGGACCAGGTTTTATTATATGTATTTTTTATAGAAACAGGTTTAGTTATGTTTTTGGTGTGGTGGTTGCTTTTTCATCCCCAAAAGGTAATTGAGTAGTTCTGTTTGTGAAATATAAGAGAATTGGAGGTGCATAGCATCATGCACATGTTATGCAGGAAGTATATGACAGCAGAGAAGATGTTTTCCAGGTTTAGTCACTGGCATTCCCAGATATGGTTAAAAAAGCTGAGCTGATGCTGGCCATAGTTGGTGTTACCAAGGTGGGCAGACCACGGATCTAATTTGCGTTATGCAGTCTTTTGTGTTTAGAGTGTCTCATACAAATGAATTCATGGAATATTTATACTTCAAATTAGAACTGTTGAAAAGTACTTATAAGGAAAAAGTCAAAAAGACCCACATCCTCAAGGCTGTAGGCTGGGTTGCCAAGTATCTTTAGAAATATTCAGGTGATTTGGATGGAGATATATTAACTGGAAAGTAGTTTATATTAACATTAGGATATCTCTTTTTTTGTTTTTGTTTTAAAGGGGTTCGGAAACACTCTGGATTCAGATTTTGCTCACAAACACAGTGTGAAATCACACATAATGGAGTGTAATTTTGCTTTGTTTTTAAAATCAATGTCCATGTAAAAGGGAAAAAAGCAGGTTTAATTTGAACATCTAATGAAAACAATGGCCAGTGCACTTACATATGTATGTTTTTGGAAACAAGCTGACATCATTATTGCCACTCATGGAGTAATTGTCAGTTCTCGTGTTTTAACTACTAGTTGCACATTTAAAATTATAAAGCACCTACACCAAAATAGTCTTCAGTCAAAGTACCTCAAGTTAGCAAAAGTCAAAAATTTGATTCACTATATTTACAGGTGACGGCTTGGACAACAGTGTAGCTTCTCCCAGCACAGGTGATGATGATGATCCAGATAAGGACAAAAAGCGACATAAAAAGCGTGGCATTTTCCCCAAGGTAGCCACAAATATCATGAGGGCATGGCTGTTCCAACATCTAACAGTAAGTGAAATCTAGATCACATATGTGAAATGAAGCATGGGTAGAAAATGTCATAGTTGTGGTAGAAAACAAGAAGAGTTAACTACCTGCCGTTTGAGCGTATTTTAGAATATGGTCAAACATATTTCATAGTCTTTGCATTTTGTGTACCTTGCTAAAGAGAGAGATTGGGAGAAAGATGGAGATTGAGAGGTGGAGGAAAATAGTTAACAAAATGAGAAAAAAAATACTTAAATAGCAACATTTCTTTTCATTTTTGGAAATAACAAAGATATAATACAGTATATTATTATATTATTTAAACCAAACTATGGCCCGGGGGCTGGATACGGCCCTCCAAGGTCATTTACCTGGTCCTTGCTCAGGGTCAACCTAAGTCTTAAATGACTTGAAAGCACACAACAACAACAACAATCCTATCTCATCAGCCAAAAGCAGGCCCACACTTCCCACTGAAATGCTAATAAGTTTATATTTGTTAAAATTGCTCTTCATTTTAATTATTATATTGTTTTTAAGTGGTTTTTTGCTGTACAAATAAGATATGTGCAGTGTGCATAGGACTTCATTCATTTTTTTTCAAATTATAATCCGGCCTTCCAACAGTTTGAGGGACTCTGACCTGGCCCTCTGTTTAAAAAGTTTGAGGACCCCTGATTTAAACATTATTCAACATCTCATAATGTACACCACAGGACAGAAAAAAAGAAAAGAAAAAAAGTCAGAAGGTTCAGCAGCATGATTAATAGACAATGTCCAGGAACCTATTAGAGATAAAAAGGCTTCCTTGAGGAATGAGCATTCTTGTCCATATCTGGAGAACACACTGGAACACAAGATTGCAGAAAGGAAATATAAACAGAGAATACAGGATGAAATGGGTGGTGTTGAAAAGCATATCACTAACAGCATGATGACCAAAAATAAAGACAACCCCCTCCCCTGTATTTTTGGCGAAATAAAATAACTAAAGACAATAGAGTTGAAAGAGCACAAAGAATTTGCAAAATAGCTGAATGTTTTCACTACAGAAGATACAAAGCATACACCTGAGCTGATTTTGTAAGAAGTGTATGAAAAGCATTTGCCAAAGAGAATTGACAAAATGTTCTGGACCTTAATGAGGATTCTAAAAAGGTCCAAATGGCATTCGTGTGAGAGTTTGTAAAGAGCCCAAATGTGAGCCTGCTGATATGGTCAGCCTCTGTACTACAGGACTAGAAAGTGGCATATTGATTTATTTATTTTTTACTTTCAAGCTACTCACGTTAATGTCTGTTATGAAGGGATTAGTGGAAAGTATTGCTAAATATGAACTTTTTAAAGAATTTAAAAGGGTTCTGCTGCAACCCCTCCCCCCCAAATATATAGCATATAGAAAGGTAAGCCCCCCAGGGCCCTTTGGAGCCCCCGGTGGCGCAGTGGGTTAAACCCCTGTGCCGGCAGGACTGAAGACTGACAGGTCACAGGTTCAAATCCGGGGAGAGGCAGATGAGCTCCCTCTATCAGCTCCAGCTCCTCATGCGGGGACATGAGAGAAGCCTCCCACAAAGGATGATAAAAACATCAAATCATCTGGGCGTCCCCTGGGCAACGTCCTTGCAGACGGCCAATTCTCTCACACCAGAAGCAACTTGCAGTTTCTCACGACAAAAAAGCCCCCCAAAAACCCATTAAAGCTGAGTATATCAAAATAACATGTAGATAGGAGTAGTCTCACAAATATGGCCTATGTGGACTTTCGAAAGACTTCTGAGTAAATTAATAATTCCACATGGTCACAGTTCAAATACTACATACAGCAGGGGTCCCCATATGTTTTTGGCCTTCATCTCCCAGAAATCCTAACAGTTGGTAAACTGGCTGGGATTTCTGGGAGTTGTAGGCCAAAAACATCTGGGGACCCCAGGTTGAGAACCACTGGCATACAGTTTTAGCCATTATACTACAAGAGCGGTATTAGAGAAAATATCAAAGGACTAATGCAACACCTCTGTGAGTAAAATTTTAAACAGTTGAGGATATTTAGTTAGTTTTAACTAGTGGATTTTAACGTCGAGATATGTGATTTTAATGCTTTTGTATGTGTATGGTATAATATGTTTTGGCATTGAATGTTTGCTGTTTATATGTTGTGCTCCGCCCTGAGTCCCCTTCGGGGTGAGAAGGGCGGAATATAAATGCTGTAAATAAATAATAATAAATAGTGATTAAAATGTGAATAAGGGCAGAGAATGTGGACAGAGCAGTTTCCCCCTCTTTCTCCTAATACTGTGCTCCATTGCCATCTGATGAAGCTGAATTGGGATGGGTGCAAGGAATTCAATACAAAAAGAAAGTTTACTTCACACATCAGGGATGAGACAAATAAATAGAAGAAAAGGTTATCAGTGGCCACCAATCCTGTGGGCTATATATTACTTTCAGTATATATCAGGTATTATGTTTCTCATTACACATTGCTTGGAAATGTGTGCAGAAAAGTATAGGGTTCTGGCCCAACTTACCTGTCTGAACATATCTCCTCCTATGAACCAGCTAGGGTGTTGAGATCGGCTGGGGAGGCCCTACTCTCGGTCCCACCTGCATCACAAGTACGTTTGGCGGGGACAAGAGACAGGGCCTTCTCAGTGGTAGCCTCTTAGCTGTGAAACACCCTTTCTACGGATATTAGATCGGCCCCCTCCCTGTTGACATTTCGGAGGAAAGTGAAGACCTGGTTGTTCGAGCAGGTATTTGAATAGGCAGTGTAAGGAACATAGGAATGTGGAACAATTGGATGATGAGACTGGATTTCGATCTTAACTATGAGATGCTCATGAGATATTTTATTGATTTATATTGACTTTATGCTACTGTTTTAATTGTTTTTAACTGTTTTAGGATGTTTTTGAGCATTGAATTTTGCTATTTTAACTGCTCTGAGTTGCCCAAGGGCTGAGAAGAGTGGTATACAAATATAGTAAATAAATAAATATAGTTGACCTCATGGAAAGCTTTCCATAACCAACTGGCTAGTCACTGTGTGGACAGGATAGATCTTTGGTGTGACCTTTGGTGTGCCATTAAATTTATTATTCTAGAGGTATGTGTGTGCCTTTTAGCTATTGCAGTTGTACATATTGTCTGTCAGATAAAAAAAACTACTGTTCTTGCTGAGAGATGTTGGCTTTCTTCATTGAGTTATAGCATTCATATATTTTATGATGTAATGTTTCTTCTAAAAGATCTGTGTGAAGGCAAAATAGAAGGACAAATGCATACTTAATAAAAAAAATCCTGTTCCTTAGTTTGGGTATGGATATATATATATATATAGAGAGAGAGAGAGAGAGAGGAGATATATACTGTATATACTCGAGTATAAGCCTAGTTTTTCCAGTCCTTTTTTTAGGCTGAAAAAGTCTCCCCTGGCTTATACTTGAGTCAATGTTATTTATTATTTTAATTTGTAGTTGTTGTTATTATTATTATTATTACATTTATTATTTTATTGTTGTTGTTATTACATTTATTATTTTACTCTATTTATTATTGTTATTGTTACATTTATTATTATTATTATTATTATTATTATTATTATTATTATTTTACTCTATTATTATTGGAGGACATGTAAGCATATTTACATTGAAGAAGGTTAGAATAATGGTTTAATCAAAGTTGGACAGTCTTATCTTGAATTACAGTTTTATGTAAATATTCAAAAACATTTAACCTACTGATGCCTAAATTAATATAATTTTATTGGTATCTATTTTTATTTTGAAATTTACCAATAGCTGCTTTCCCACCCTCGGCTTATACTCGAATCAATACATTTTCCCAGTTTTTTGTGGTAAAATTAGGTGCCTCGGCTGATATTCGGGTCGGCTTATACTCGAGTATATACGGTGTGTGTATGTATGTGTGTGTGTGTGTGTGTGTGTATATATATATGATCAATAAAGAATTCTTTTCACAGTAGGTTGGTCTCAGCAACATATCACATCACATCACATGTTGTTTCTGCATCACAGCTTGTTCCATTAGCTAATTAGGAACTGCAAAAATCTGCGAGTTATTTGATTTGTAACGCCTATTACAATTCCGTATTTGGAAGCATGTTTATTCCTGCTATTTTGTATAATTTTGCTGTCTTAGCACATTCAGCCCTACCAGATCTATATTAAAAGCTTTTGATCGATGAATACGTTTTCATTAATTTAGCTATTACCAAAATAATAGTTGATAGTGTAAACAGACAGCAGTCCATACATAAGTACGAAATCACAAAGAATGGAGTACATGAGTTTGAAAAAGCACCCATTCCTGTTACTTTTCTAAAAGGCCAGTCTTTTCTAAAAGACTTACTGCTTTTAGATATCAAACTCAGGAACAGCAACTGAGTAGCATCCCATGGACAGATAAATTGATGCTAGCAAAAAGTAAATACCAGCAGAGAGGCAAAGTCAGATAATTTTGCAACTGAATGGAACACTAAAGTTGAATCCTTGTTTGATCAATTTGAAATTAATAAAGAAACAAGTAATATGATTACAAATCTTCTATACTGTTTATAATATGGAAAATGTATTATTTGTGTCTTCATTAACTTGCCCTTCCAGCAGCCTTATGGAGCTGAATAATGATAGTGTTACAGATCATGTCGGGGATGAGGATTTTGCTTCTATTTTCCAATAGATCTTGTACTTAAGGACGCAGAGAAGTGGCCAGCAAGAATTTGAAATGCATAGACTAATTTTGTAGAAGTATTGGGCAGCTACATCTAGTAACCTTCACACCTGCTGCGTACTGTCTGCGTAGGAAAAGAATCAGAGCTTTTCAAAGGTCATAGTAGATGTAGCTCAGTCCATAAAAAGGTGGATTTGTCAGTACTAATTGACAGGTGAAAGGATATTCCCTCTCTTGGGTGTTATAAAACTGGAATCCACAAGCTTTGCTGGGACATCACTTGCCCTGCATGAGACAACTACTGCTGCCAATATAGTTACAGGAAT